CAGGAGAGGTCTTCTCGCCATGTGGGACCCTTGCTGGTGGCCAGGGATCGAACTGGCACTGCAGAGGCTGCAGGCAGCTTCACAGCCCAGCGCTCAACCGCTGAGCCACCAGGGGAGGCCCCCAGTATCCTTGCTTTAATTACCACATTTGACTAACGTCTGGGTAAGTCGTATTATATAGTGGTGTTGGATGTTTCCTTAATATAGAACAATGCCAACTAACATAAATGACCATTTGACCAAAATAAATATGGGAGAGATTCAAGGACACTGTAAGCAAAGAATTAATCATGTGTTTTTTTAGCAGACTGGGAATTTAATCACCTCTATTATGGAAAAATAACATGGTGCAAATCAGCAAGAGCAACTTAAAAGATATGAGATCAGACATGTGACCATATAGAGCATTTCAGTTGTCCAATTTATGATGGCCTGAATGAGAGCAGAGACTCCAATAAAGAGAATAAATGCATTCTAGAATGTCTCTCCCCACTCAAATCCATAAGTTTAGTTGATTCAATTGTGGAAGTACTTTTAGACATTTTCTAACTTCTTTTACTTCTTTTACTTCTTTTAATTTTTCCTTTCCTCTGCTTCCTGGCACAGAGGAAAACTTAGGGGAAAAATTTAGAAAATATTTGTCTTATTTTACCTTTCTTTCCCGTTACCCAACTTATTTCATCTGTTCCCAATACCTCAGCTGACGAATTAGATTTAGAAAAGAAGCTCCTTCCCTCTTCATACCTTTCTGCAAATTCTAACCATTGACCAAGACCCGTTATTTTTGACATCTGAATACAGCTCCAAAGCCATCTTTTGTTGCTGAAAATAGCAATCTTCGGGAGGCGATATGGTACTAGAGAAAGACCAGAGTTTTTGGAGCCTTGATTTAGAGCTGGCTTTGCTGTGTACCAACTCTATGACTCTAGCCCAAGTATTTCATCTGAGAAAAAAAAATGTCAGCTTATTTCTTTCATTTCCAATATTCTGCTTCAAGAATCAAAGTATTGTGTGTGACATTGTCTGAACATAATAACTATTAGTTCTTATCATTGTTAATCAGCTCTTTGTTTTCTAACCTATAAAAATACATTTTAACATGAGGCTATATTGAAACATACAATATTATACAGATAGAAACTTTGTAATATGGGAATTTGTGTTCTTTAAATATAGTGTTGATATAGGATTAACTTTATGTTGTGATGAAGATTAGCTGGAATGCAGTTATTTTGTAAATGTGAGTTCCAGAAAAGCTCTTTAAAAAATTGCCTCATGGTTCAGTCTTCATGAATAAACTCATTCTTCAAATTACCTAATATGTATCAAATCAGCCTTTAAATGTTTATAACTACAAATTAAAGATGGGATAAGCATAGCAATCATTCAAAAATTTCAAATCTCTTAAAAATTAATTCTGCTTATTTTATTGAATTTTAGAAACAAAATTTATTTTAATTTTTATTTTATATAAATTTTACATCATTCTTCATTTTTTATACAATGTATGCCTTCTCCTCTTAGGTGTAATCCCTGTAAAATTCCCACCACCAAATCACCCATGCACTATCACCATAGTCCCTTGTGCTGTTCCTACCATTGAGAAAAAAAATTCAATTATGACATTTAAGAAATTTGAGTTCACAACTGAGTATTTACTCAGTGTAATTTTAAAATATTCAATAAAATTATTGGTGAAAAAAATTACCCCCTAAAACAAACTTTTTTCTGTACTTGAATGAATTCCTGGTTTACATGTAAGCAGATTGGCATATGTTCATTCAAAGTAATAATTACCAATCAGATACATTATACATCTCTTATTTTCACTTTTTACCTTTTGACAGTACATATGCAATATCATGGACTAATACTTTGTACTTAAATTTCAGTTTTAACATCTTTGCTAGTTAACATTGAGAAGACTTTTATTTTTTAAATTATCACACTAGTCCTATAATTGAAGACTATCTTGGGGGACGACCGGAGGAGAAAAGATATCTTTAAGGTGTTGTGTGCTCAGGAATATTTTAGCTATTTTTGTTTAATATAACAAAGACAGCTTTCAATCAACTTAAATTTTTTCCTGATATAAAACTATTTTGCTATTAAATTTAAAAGGGTCAAGATAAGGATAGGTTTTAGCATTGTGTTTTGGGTGATAAATGAATTGAGCCAGTAGTCAATTTTGTTCTTTCTTGATCTTTAATTCTATTGTGAAAATAGACCTGTGGGTTTCAATATAAGATTTAACAGTAGCCACATTTAGAACTTTTGGAAAATAGTCTAAACTTTCAGGGTCTTAATTTCATCATCTCTGGTAAAGGTATGCTTCCACAAAATAGGACTAATCAGTCTCAAATCATAAGAAGAGCCACTCTGTAATTTTAGAGCTGCAGGTAACTTTAGAAATTTTCAAGGCCAGTTTTCTCACTTCATATATAACAACTGAAGACCAGAGAGGTTGTGACACTTGCCTAACGTTCTATACCTAGTTAATAATAGAAATGTTCCTAAAGCCACTATTCCTGGCTCAGTCTGGTCATTTAGCTTCCTCTTTTATCAATTATTGATGCACTTGACCTAGTTCTTTCACTGTTTTATAGCTGGTATTTTTATTATATCCTTATGGTTATAGGACTTTTTTTATATGTCATTGACATATAATAGATTTTCAATAATATATGTTAATATTCTGTCAACACAGGACAATGAACAATTTATCAGAAACTAAAATGTTTGTCAACTCAACCAGTCTTTAAAAATTAAACATGTCACATTAAAGTTTTTTCCTGCCACACTTCAGAAGATAGTTTTTGCCAAGTTACAGATAGGTTGAGCCATTTTTAAAATAAGTCATTTACTCTGCACACACTGTCTTCAAAAATTAGTGTGCCTTCTACTTTTGAACATCACAAGCTGTCAGATGTGGTAAAAACTAAAACTACTTTTTAAAATTACAACTGTACAGGATTTTAGAAAATTTGTTTTGAATAATAACTCTGTAATGTTTGTGAAATCTTCTGTGTTGTTTATTGCTGGATAACCAAAAACAAAATGAATATTGTTAATGAACTTATCTTTTCAACATGAGAAAATTAGTCTGTTGGTTTTTTTTGTGTGTGTTACTGCAGATTAACATTTGATTAAGGAACAGCTGATTCCTTTGTTCTTGTAACTAAAGTCTTGGAATTTATCAGAAAATTTGTATATTCGTTAAAGGTTTTAAGATTTCTTTTTCTACTATCAATTCATTGAAATATGGCATATTAATCCAGGTTATTTACTGTTTAGGAATCCTGTACTGCATCTTTAGCAAATATTTACTTATTAGAAAATCAGGGTGTCAGTTACACCCAAGTACAACTTTTCTATTCCTAAAGCAAGAACTTTCTTTACACTAGCTGATTTTTGTTGAACCAGATTATTATTATTATGAAGAATAACTAATAGTGTTTATATCAGCTCTAGGAACTGGAAAACACTCATAATACAATCAATTCTATCTAACAGTATAAATGTCAAAAATACTTATCAAAATATATATCCAAAATCTTCTGTATTTGATGTTTCAATATAGCATTTTTTTTCCTATTTTTTGATAGTGATTTTTATCTTCCTAGTTCTGTTTTGCTTGGCTTATTGTGAACTATGTTAGTACTCTGCAATTTATGACCAAAGATAGATGAGGTGGCAGAAAATATGTATAGCATGGTGAAACTTTATAGGGATTCAAATGTATGTTTTATGATAACTATCTAATGGACTTATAGGATAGCTTTAGAAACAGGTGAATAAAAAGATAGGCAAATATACACTTAAGTTTAGAAGTGAGATTATGGAATAAAATTAAATGGTAACCATTGAATTTTCTCATACATAATCTACGAGTGAATGATCTATTTGTTTCTTTAATCTCATTATCTCTAATTATCTCCATCATTCACTCTGCTCTGGTCACGGAGATCTGCTTCTTTGCTTTTTTAAACATGTTAGACAATATTTCATGTTAGGACATTTGCATGTACTGTTCTTCTGTCTGCACTGCCCTTTTCCCAAATAACATATGACAAACTCCCTCACTACTTTTTTCACTCAAAAATTACCTCTTTGTGTTGATTTCTGTGACTACTCTGTTTAAACTTTGATCATACCCTGAACATTTTGTTTTTTTCTTGTTGTCTTCATATTTGTCTTCTTAGAACTTGTCAGTATCTAAGTCACAAAATACTTTATTTCTTTATCTTGTTTAGAATTTGTTCCACTAGAATATAAACTTTATGAGAGCATGGATTTTGTCTGTTTTGTTTGCTCTTATATCCTCAGTGCCTTGACATGCCTGGATTATAGTAGTTGTTGAATATATATTTGTTGAATAAATGAATATTATACCACATTACAAATACTTCTAAATAATCTTAGATAAGCCAGTAAACTCATATTCAGTATCAAACTAGTATAAATTTTAATTGAAATGATATCATGTAAAACATATTTTTCTATTAAATCTATTAATTTATATAATTATTATGTAATAATTATATGATAATCTATTAAATATAGTTGAAATAAATAGCTATTTTGTCTTATCACATTGAAATGTATTTATTAATTTCCTCTTGATATGTGTAAAAATTTCTTCATTTTAATTCCATATGAACACTTCATTTCACTGCAATAAAACAATGTTTACAAAATATTTATTTTAAAAATAAATTTGTGAAAGCATTTAAATTACTTTTCCTCATACCTTGGTTCCATTCATTTTACTGAAAATAAATTTTGGAATTTATTGGAAGTAAATTTTAGTGCTTTCGATTTTGAAATATATAAGAAATTCAAATAATGTCCCATTACTATATTTAAAACATTAACTATTTAATGCTAAGACTTTAGGGAAACATATAGGGGTAAAAGATAAATTAGATCCCAAAGTATTCTAGGTTCTTATTATCTAATGTTTCTGATAAACCCTGATTATTTCTTTTGGTTTATACTAGAAGTTACATGGGAAGACCAGCAGAAAAAAGTGAATGGTACAATAAGTGATGACAAACCATTGCCGAAAAAGAAACACCAATCTGAGCCAGGTTTGTCAGGGTTTGGAAAACTATTGAAAGCATGAGACAATAAATATTGCATTTCATGCTTTTAAAGTACATGTGTGCTTGTTGTACCTAATTTTTATTTTGGTATGAACTTTATAGTGTGTAGAGCTTATTTAGAGTAGAGTGGTGAATACTTTTATTTCATGATTTGTTAAGAAAACTAATTCTTTGTATTTTTGAAAAAGCAAGAATTGTTTTATTACTAAGATTGTATCTTTAGGAAAAATTAACTAATTCAAACTAAATGGTCATTTATGTATCTTGCTGTTTTGACTCAAACTGAAGTACATTAATGGAGGTAACTTGCTTCCTTTAAAAGTATTACAGAAAGCTCAATATATTATTTAAAGTTTGTCTTAGTAGGTCATTCCTTATTTTATTTGCAAATTCTATCAAGGAATTATACTGCATATTGGTAATAAGTTATGTACAACTTCTAGAGCTAATACTACTGCCAGCAGCAGGAAAGAAGTATACTATGGTATGTGGATTCAATGAGTCTCTTCAAACCATTAGTTCTACCAATGGATTAATATTATTTTACTCTCTCCTTTTTTGTTGGAGAGTTATGATTAACTAAGTAGAAGAGAAAAACTTGAATCAGGAATAAAATGAAGAGGAACAATGTGCAGAGATAATCAGCATTATAATCAGACTAACGTTATTCAGTAATCGAATGAGATTGCAATGAAAATTTTAGACTACATTGGAGTTTTGGATAATGACATCATTTAAAAGGCTGTGTCTATCGTGACAGTGTTAATGTATTTTTATGTGGTGACTCATTCATGTTAGACCTCTAAACTCTATATTTTAAAATATGTCAGTGTTTAAACTAATTATTAAACAAGTATTCATTGCTATCCTGTTGTATGCCAGGCACTGCAGTTGGCATTGAGTTATTCAGATAGAAAGACAAATGCAACAATTGCCCTCATAGAGTTTACCTTCTGGCAAAAATACATAAAACAAAAAATAATTGTATTAATCATTCAGTTATTGCAACTGTGATGATGCAGTTAAAGAGAAAAATAGGGTGCTTTGAGAAAAAGTTTTAGTTTCATAGCAAGTTTGGAGAACAAGGAAAAATAGCATAGCCCAAATGTGTTAATTTGTGAATTCTTGTTTAATCAAACAGTGCATATGAAAATTTAATAAAGTAAACTAGAGATAACACTGGGAATTTAAGTATATCCATAAAATTGTAAGAAAAATATGTTTTTCAAATCTTCAATTTGAATCACTTAGTTTTTTTTTTTTGGAAATAGAAATTAACTTAATATATATAAGGGTATTTTTAAAAGTAAACAAAGTATACAATTAATATTTTGTTATTATATACATAACAAAAATTATTATTGTAAAGTCTCTCCTTGCTATATTGTATGCTGTGTGAACTATCCTTGGTCATAAATAATTTGCCTTCCCATAAAATCTGATTTTATATATATGTATACATATATGAATTAGTTACATTGTATATTAAAATCATGAAACAATGTGTTTGGCTAAAAATATCTGTAAATCTCACAAACACAAAATGTTAATGATGTCTTAATATTAATTGGTCTCACATATATGTATTTTTAAATCATTTAAGCCCTCTAGTGGAATAGAAACTGTGTGTGCAGTAGGGAAAAATTAATATGAAGAGTACCTAAATGTCATGGTTTAAAATGTTTGTAGGTTTTTTTTTGAGCAATTTTGTGTTTTCCTATAAACTAGAAAATTCAAAGTGGCCGTGGAAATTCAAGCCCTAAATGTCATGAGTAAGTATGTAACGTAATAAGGTAGTAAACATAATGTTAAATTTTAGAGTTCCATGAATATTATTTTGTTTATAAAGGAAAAGTATGATGTATACAGAGTAATTACTGAAACTTAAGGTAAAATTATAGTGAAATATGGCTATCGAATGGGGCTAATTACATTTCAATAACATGTTTTTTGAGCCTGGGCTTAATAGAAAACATTTGGAATTATTCTTTATTTCATAATTAGGTGCATTTACAATATTTGTAATCAGGTAATTTTATTAGTGTTTAATACATAATTTTTCTCCCACTAAAACGGAAGAGCTTATCTTCCATTAATTGTCAAAGATTCTTCATCAGAAGATTATTGTGAGCTTGTGGCATTAGTAAAAGTGTGTAAGAACTTGAACTCAAATCACACATGGAAAGTCATCTGTGTATCAATAGCATCTATTGTTATATTTTTCTTCTTTTGTTTTATGAAAATTTATGTAAGAGCTGTACCTGGAACTTTTGCCTTTTTAGGAAGTATGTTAACAATAATACATGACTTGAAATATTTGTTTTAAATACAATACTGTAGAGCTGAAGAAATAACTGACATTATATAGATTAAAAAATGAGTTAACAAATATTTGGATGGACTTTAAGTAATACAAATTTGTGTATATGTATATATGCTTTTTTTTTTTTTTCAAAGAAAGATTGGTATCTTTGAATGACGCTGTCCTGAGGGGATTATCAACAAAAAAGGGATGATTTACTTTTAGTTTAGTAATATTTATCATGCTGACATCTTTGTGTGAGTATAGCATATAAGAATCCTACAAATAATCTTAAAACACAAATTTTGTGGATAATGTTTAGAGTAAATAAATGTCTTCTTCTTGTGGAATGTAGGTTAGATTTTGTTTAGCCCATGTTGGTAATGAAATATTGTTAATGCAAATTGAGAATATATATGAGTTTGGAAAATTCTGTTGGTTATGTTTTCAATGAGCTGTCTGATGCTAAACTAAGATAGTTGATCTGTAATAATGCATTGTTATTAAACATTGCAAACAAACTTTAATCCATTGAATTTTATCATTTTCACTTGTCAGTTTATCTGTTCTTGAAGTAATTAGAAATTTATCTTGGCAAAGAACAACTTTTACATAAAAAATCATTTTTTAATGCAGTATAACAGAGCATGATGGGAAAGCTAATTTCATTTAAACTGAATGAATGTTTTAGAACTGATACAACTTCTCAGGTTATCCAAAATGAGAAATTCTTGGACTTAAATAGTTCAGATCTTCAAATAACAATTTTAAATAATTTTTGTATTTGATGCTATTTATAACAGAATCCTTGGTATTGTTTTGCTATTTTCTAACATTCTATCTAGAAAATATTGAATTGACTTAGTTGTCCTTATTTTATTTACCCTAAAACCATAGCAGTGCTATTTACCTTGGTGTATCATAGCTGGAAAATGTCTGTTTTTTCCCTTCTGGAAAAGTCATGGCAATGAAACATTTTGCTGGAGTACTGTATATATATATATATATATATATATATATATATATATATATATATATATAATTTTGGAAATAGAAATAATCAAAATAACAAGTTATGTTTTACTACTTACTATAATATAGTAATGTGTGCATAAGCCCCAAGTGTTAGCATTATATGGTGTGGTTAATGAATTAATCTTCAACTTTTTCCAACATGGAAATTTCCATATTGTATTCCTTATGGATCTATAACTGTGGGAAGATGGGGTGGTGGTGTTGTTTTTTTTTTTTTTGTTTTTTGTTTTTTTACTTAGCCCTTCCTTTGGAATTGTGCTTTATAAAATTTATCTGAAGAGAAAGTAAATACTCAACGATGTATTTTATACTTGAGCATTTTTCTTGAGTATTTTGATGTCATAGACTTGTTTCCTTATTTTTGAATATTTTGACATTTCTTAGAGATAGAAACAGTTTATTTTACTCTCAATCGCTATTCTAGATTAGTCTTCTATTTACATGCTGGTTTAATCTAATCTGGGAAAAAGCATTAAGGTTGTGATCTTGGTCAGTATTAGCACATTGGCATTTCTAATTATGTTGGGATGGTTATAGAAAGAGCAAAAAAAGCAAACTAAGTAAATATTTTTTACAACAAAAATCAGCCATTAGAATTTTGGAATTAATTACTACTGGAGCCTTATAAGTAAATATGAAGTTCTTTGTTAACAACCATATTTACCTGTAAATGAATGAAAATTTTATTATGAATTTAATTGTTCATTTAAAGTTTGTTCAATTTCCTCTGAAGATACAGATTAATTTATAAGTCTAAAACTATTTCTGTGACGTTTTTTTCCATATGATACATAGCATGCTGTAGTTTGAAAATAAATTATTTTAAACTTCTGCGACACCCTAAGTGTATTTTCCTTCTGCATTTAAAATTGTGTAGTGTCAGTCTTCAAATATAAAAATCAGGATAAAAAGCACAGGATTAGGAAGGAAGACTTAAAAACATTTTTTGTTAGTTTGGCAAATTATTTTTAAATAATCTACTTGCTTATTTAGAGGTAGACTTTATTTTAAATGATCAGTAATTTTATGGTTGTTTGTGGAAAATTATGCAAAATTATGTTTGTTTATGCAAAATTATGGAAAGTGATAGTTTTTTAAAACTCAGATTGTTTGGATTGAGGAATTTTTTTTTTTTTTTTTTTTTTTTTTGGTGGGACCCTCACTGGTGGCCGGGGATCGAACTGGCGCTGCAGAGGCTGCGGGCAGCCTCGCAACCCAGCGCTCAACCACTGCGCCACCAGGGGAGGCCCTGAGGAATTTTTTGACAAGATTTTTGTTAGTGATTTTTAATTTGAAATCTGTAAACTTTGTAAAATTTTGTTTTTATATTCTTGGTCTATTCTGATCTTTGTATCATTGAGTTTCTCCTAATTTAGGCTTTTTTTTTTTTTTTTTAGTATTCTACATTTATTTTCTACATTTATTTGTTTATTTTGGATTTACACACACATGCACATTTTTATTGTGATAGCATTAGCTTATATTATTGTTGTTATCTGAAAGTCTAGGATACCCCCCTCAGGTATTTTCTACCACAGTGCCACTGCCACCAGATCACCCATAGATTAGCACACCAGTCCATTTTGCTCCCTTTTCTCTGTGTTTTCACACCTCCCCTGTCTGGATGCATCAGTTCTATAGTCAACTT